TATAGAAACACACACAAACAGAGCAGTTCAGCTTGGGCATCCCAGTTTAAAAAGGGATTCAGTAAAGCCATGGAATGTGTATTTTAGACAACAGAAAGATTATGTGATGGAGTGTCCTGGAAAAAAAAAAAAAAAAGCATAAAAAGGCTAGAATGAGTCTGCCTTGGCAAAAGAGAAGCAGATGAGACTGATAAAAATACAGTAAAGTAGCTAAAATTGCTATAAACTGAGATTTAAGGCATGCGGTAATATTTTTCAGGGGGACCAGATAGCTGCACGGAACACACCAAATCAGCTATTTTGGTTCTTGGACGAACCTGACTGTGGGTAAGGCTAGGGGAGGAATTTTGCACTACTTACATTTCTCTGGCATTGTAGCCATTATCAGTACAGTATCTGAACGTGTGTTTGTCATTTGAGTTGTTCCACCTCACTGTGCTTACACAGCTGAGTCACGTGGTGTCATCTGTGCTCCCAGATGGAGCAATACAAGCACTTCTAGAGCAAACAATAACACCCGGTCACTTAAAATGTAAACTTGCTGCTTGGAAATTCCCCTTTCAAGAAATATTAATATGTCTAAATAACTCAACGAAAACGTAAAGGCACAGAAAATAAACCAAGAATTTAAATAACGCATATTATGGTAGCTGTTACAGCTCCTGCTCAGTAGTAGTTTCTTGGGCACGCAGAAAACATAAGATCCAGTAATTTATCAGTGTAATGACTGGATTTTCTAAGATTAAGATAAAGATGCCCACACTTCAAAGTGAGGTTGTATTTGATGTCTGGGTCCATGCCTGCTGGAAATCTGAGAACACTAGTTCCTAAAAAAAGGTCACATCACAGGTAATGGAAATAGCAGGAACATGCACGCTTCTGTCAGCAGCTACTAATGCAGCCTAGCTCCTTGTTGCTGTGTGTCTTAGGGGCTTGGGGAAGTGTTACGTCCCAGTGCCTAATAACGTGTGAACTCTGACTGAAGCTTCTCTTGGATTTGGGCATTCATACCACACTCCGATATTGGGATTCTGGTGTCTAGTGACAGGCAAATTCACTCTATAACTTTTATTTTCACTGAGAACATTACTAAGGCTTCCTCAGTTTTCTGGAACTAGTCAAGCTTAATACCACTGAATTTGCTACCTCTGTTAGATGTGGTTGAAGGTAACAGAGACATTCAAAATATGTTGGACAGACACACAAAAGTGGATGCAAAAACCATGATTACATTTTGCTTGTTTGGTTACAAAATGTCACCCCCAAAATCATTAACTTAAAACTAACTGGTTTCAATTTGTAAGAATTTGGAATTGTGAGGCTTTGGAATTTTTTTGATCCCTTTTTAAATACTCGATAAAGAAACCACTATTCGTGTAACATCAAAGCTATGCATTATTCTCTCTCTTGCATTCAGAAGGTTAAGGTCTTGTTTTCTGGCTACGCAAAAGGGATTGATTATAAACAAGGGAATAACAGAAATTAAAATATTCGTAAGTACAGATCAGTGCTATCAAAGGATGACACTTTATCTTTTTTTTTAAAATAACAGCCAATCGCAAGAAACACAGTCTGCTTAACTGAATGTTTTTTTCCCAGGATAGCATTTCCTCTTTTAGAGGATGACTGCTTCAGTCACATCTCTGTTTAACTGTCTGCCTCCCATCCTCCCCACCCAGCCTGCTGATCTGTGTTTCCAAATATACCCTTAATATGAAAATGTAGAAATATAAGAATAGCATGCAGTGGCATGTTCAAGTTTCTAGTCTGCTTTCATAACAACATTCAATGCTGTTCTGCAAAGCAGCAGAACAGATTAAAGATCACAGAAAGCTGTTTCTGTCTTACTGTTTCTGGTTTTGCAGGCACTTGTGGAATTCCCAGGATACAAATTTCTTTGTTACTTCACGGCCTTGGCGTATGCTTGGAGATGCTAACATAATGTGCAGAGCTACTGCATGAGTTAAATTGAAAAAATAGCCTCCAGTATGTGGTTTGACTTAATAATACTCTAATCTGTAGGGCAGTGGATATCACATTTCAAATTTTTCAGATACGACTGCCTAATCTTCACATTGTAATTCTGAAAATGGTTGGTATCACAGGTGTCTCAACCTGTTTTGGCATTTCAGTCATTAATAAGTTCTATTTTAAGCATGCTCAGGCCTACACAGTACTTAGTATAATTTTTAATTGCTATACAAATGCTGGATATCATATAGAGGAATTGATGAAGTAGGAGTGTCACTATATAGGCGAGGATTCCTTAAAACTATGTGAGGATTAGGGTAAAGTCAAGAATGCACTGCAAGTATGGTACAAATTAAGCTTAGTAGACAGCAGATCTGGTTCACCATCTCTGCAGTTTCTATTTCCCATAACTACATACAGTTGTCTCAGTGTATATAATGTTTGACAAATATAGAATAGTACAAAGGACCTTTATATATTATCATAAGAACAGGCTGGCTCTACTTGCTTATGAATCCCTTCCAACAAGAGAGGAGAAATGCACTTTTTTTTTAAATGGTGTTTCTATAGCCCAGGCAACTCTGGCAGACAACATAAGTGGCATGAGCAGCTAGGTCTGCCACTGAAATGAATTCATAAGTCAGTGCACCTGCAGATTTTATGTACTTTTACTCAGTGAGCACTGCAAGTTTCTTAATGCAGCTTTACACACATTTTTTTCTTTGGACTGGGTGGAGTTCAAGAAGAAGCCAAAAATTGTTCTTTCTTGTGTAATTTTCAGTTAAGATCAGTTGAACTTAATTCTTGAATGTGATGTTTTTCCATCAGCTTGTGTAACTCTAAACACAAGTTATGTGATGTCATGTGCTCTAGCAGAGGAGCTACAAAGGTTACAGTTCAGTGGGACTTGGAACATGGAAATCCAAACCTATTTAAAACTGTAAAAAATAAATTTTACAATATTCCTTATCTTTAAAAGACATATCTTGCCTGCCTCTCTGAAGAGTAAAGAAACCTGAACTGTTTTTTGATTCCTTTATTTTCAAGCATCTTTATCTTTTGGAGACTTAATTCTCTTTGAGACCTGCACGTAATGCACAAAAGTAGTGCTGCTGCCAAGACATAGTGTTAAGACTCTCAGTATACATGTTCACATGCTTGACATGTTTCCTGCAGTATTTAAGATATTTTATAACATTTTCACATTAATTTATAGGATCAAGTTCTACAGCCATTGTGAAAAGGTAAAATTCTGACTTCAGCGTTGCCTAAGATGGAGCTCAAAATCTTTGTTGTGCTGTGTACAGCCACTTTAATGGTGAAAGCTCTTTGTGGAGTACAACATGTCCATGGGTTACTGCTTATGCAAGAAAGTTGCACTGTGGCTGCATGTTCCCTAATGAGATTAGGCAATCAATTCATATAATCTCTCATTCTGTTGATTGCTTTACTTCCTGTAAAAGGGCATTTATATAACTTACCTGCACAGAAAACCACATCCCTTCTGTTTGAGAGATGAGACTGATGACAGTCTGTGAATTTCCACATGTGGTTTTGGAGCAGCAGCTAGGTCTTGTCTTAATTAATACCCCACAGCAACTTTGTTCCAGACTGTGTACTAATTTTTTATGAACAGTAATGACTCTCGTATCTGCACACAAGGCATCCAGCATTTCCTCACAACACAGCTTTTCTTTCAGGAGGTATTGCTAAACCTCAACAAAGCTGGGAAGCACCCTAGAGAACTTAGTACCACTCCTAGAGTGATGCCAGCTGTCAGAGAGTGCATGGAGGGGAAAACTACTTGGCCAAGAAACTTAAAGGCAATTACCAAGAAGATATCAAATCAAGACTATAGAGGACTGAGGGGAAAAAGTAATTCCTAGGAAGGAGAACATGGGACAGTAGAGATATAGTGGAGTAAAGGCCACAGTTTCTTTGGCTTAGCACACAAGTTATCTCTACTATCATCAACAACATCAAATCAGGCAGGTGAGTAGGAACCTGAATGTTTTCATCCAGATCTGATGTGCAGTGGAGAGGAGAGGGGGAGATAAGTTGTGTAATACCTTCATCACCTGACTGTTAGTGCTGGATAACACAGATCTTAACGAGCCCACTCCAGAACCTCTTCTGTCATTAGGAACTGGACTGTCATACCTACTGCTGGCTACCAAATGCTCAGCGTAGAAAAGAGCAGTTGATGCCATGCTAACTAATTAGCAGAAAAGGTACCGTTTTCTTTTGCTTCACAATGTTGTCAATAGCAGAAGCAAAACATTGGCATGTTAGCTCTTACCTTCCTTGTCTGAAAGCAATAATTTCATGAGACTGTCCTTCTAGTGAAGAACATCTGCTGACACCGTTTGTAATGCAAACAAACACAGAGAAAACTAACTTGAGCAGTAGAAACATCCAAGGGCCATTACCTTACCAAAAAATGCCACAGCTCAGGGATAAGAAACTTCAGTTCTGCAGGCCAGATCCAACTCTCAGACCACATAGCAAATGCAAGCAACACAGGCATGGTTGTGGAGAATACAGGGTGAGAGCCTCACATGAAGTGCCTCAGAATTGCCATTTCACCATAAGTGGTTTTTTGATAGCTGAAGAGAGATAGTTCTTCACACCTTCTGAACTTCAGCATTGAGTTATTCAGACATAGGGACAGCTTGGGGGAGTAACTGAATAGTCTGTAGAGCTCAGTACAGATATTGTCAAAGTCCAGAAGTCAAGTCCAACAGACTACAAGAGATATGAAATGTGACATCTGTGAAAGGATCAGAAGCCTAGCATCCCTGAAGATCCATTTATCAAAGAAGGTATAGCTAGTTTGATTTACAGTACTTTTTAGTGTGTTGGAATTCCACAGTGTCCTCCTGTCTGGCAGAGCGTAACACCTTCTCCATCCAGTTATTGCCAACTGGCATCGACTTTGCTCCCAACCTTCCTACTCTAACCTTTGTGTACAAAAAAACCATGGAAGACATTGCTAACCCTTCTAATCATGCCATGTTTACTTTCTGCAGGTGAACGGCCTTTTGAATGCAACTGGCAAGGATGTAACAAGAAGTTTGCTCGCTCTGATGAGCTGGCCCGCCATTACCGCACTCACACTGGAGAAAAGAAGTTCAGCTGCCCTCTCTGTGAGAAACGTTTCATGCGCAGCGACCATCTGACAAAGCATGCCCGTCGCCATGCCAATTTCCACCCAAGCATGCTCAAGAGGCGAAGTGGAAGCAGCTCAAGAACAGGGTCTGTCAGTGACTACAGCCGCTCAGATGCCTCAAGTCCGACGATTAGTCCTGCCAGTTCCCCATAGACCTACCTGCACTGGATGTCAGCACTTTGCCTCTAATACCTAACGTGGAGTTCTGTTTGTGTTGCACACATTAAAAAAACTCTGTCGCTTCCCCTCCTCAGTTTCCCACCTCCCTTTTTTTTTTTTTTTTTTTTCAATCAGTAAATAGTTGCCTCCCACTGCAATTTCCAGTCAAATTTTCTTCACCCAACCACACAAGTGGCTATTCTAACCTCATGGACAGACAGACTTACATGTTACACTTAGTGACTCCTGCTGTCTCAATATTTCATACATTTTGCAACCATTTACAGATCCTCTTGATTATTCTTTATAAGAAAATGAGAAAATCTAAAAAAAGAAAACCAACCCATTTAATTCACCTCAGGTGTCAAAGTAGTTTTGTAAGACCAGATTGCACAACACGAGCACACATACACTTACAAATCAACTGTGTTGGATTGTGTCCCCCTTCTCCTTTCTCAGGGATGGATATTTATGTTACACAATAATTACAATGAAGACACACCCTAACCGCAGCCTTACTCTGTAAATATATTTGCACTCAGAAGCTTTTTGTTGGGTTCTTTCACACACTGGGGAAAAAATAAAAAACAAACAATACAAAAAACAAACCAGTACTGGAATGTAGTACCAGACTCTTCCATTGTTTGTTTTCCTGATGATATACCTACACTGGGGAGTGTCCAAACAGGAGTCTTGTCTTTCTTCAAGCTGCCCTCTGCTTTTGGTAGCAAGCCATCTTTTTACTTCTTGCTGAAGATTCTCCAAAACCAACTTCCTATTGCAAAAATCTCTGCGAGGTTGATAAACTTGCTTGTTTGTATGTTTCATGCTAGATAAAATTCTGAGAAAAAATTCTAAACAAGATGCCTTAAGTAAATAACCTGAATCACAAGGAAACATATTTACACTGGGTAACATTTTATTGCAATGTGGCATGGAATCTCGGAGGTATTCTGTCGTCACTCTCTCCAAGTTGTTAAGCTCTCTGCACTGCCTGTTCAGTATGGGACCAACAGAATATTAAGATCAAACCACACTGACTTGAACAATTTTCTTTATTATTTTTCTCCTTTTTTAAAAATTAATTATGGAACTAACATAGCTGAACCAATGCCCACCAAAACTTTTATCAAGGTACTTACGTCCTGTACAGCTGTATCTTAGCAAGACAGATTGGCTAAGACATAGTTTCTGCATCCTGCTGCATCACAATCGTGGTCACGGATAAAAGGAAGTGAAAATCATAAGATATCTCTGACTGGAAAAATAAAATATGCATTTTTGAGTTTTAAAATAAAATTACATTTTAGCTCATCACTACTACAAGTTTCTCAAAAACACACATACCAGCATAAAGTACGTTCATTTCTGAGTAACCGCTTAATAACAAAAAGGGAATCTTGGCTAGTTTTCAATAACTTTCAAATATTTGACACTAGATAGAGCACTAGGAGGTAGATTTTTATGTTTCATAAGGTAGAAAATATAGTAAAAGACCGGGAACATTGTGTTGTACTGGAGACCTCACTGGCAGCAAATATACTTTCCTTTGTTTGGCTGAGTCTGATGGTGCATATCATAAATTCAGGTCCTTTTGATTCTGGAATTTTTGGGGTTTTCTTGTTTTTACTGTAGGGTCTAAATGCAGTTAAGCATAGCACAGTGAAAAGAAACACTCTGTGCCAAACCTGCCACTTGATATCAAGTGAATGCCTCCAGATTCCAAATGAACCTGTATCTTACTTGCTGCTTTGCATTGATCCAATTTTGCAAGTTTTTATTGTACTGTATATTAACTGTGAGAGGCTAATATAGATTTCCAAGTAGTGTCATAGGTACTTCAATGGTATTTACATTATTCCTAATACTGTGCATTCTATTCGTTGTATGGATAAATACTTAGAGACAGTTCAAAGTGCAGATATTTCAGTATTTTTTTCAAGTTCATTTGCTTCAGATTTCACCCCTATAAAATCAGAGTTTTCCCCTTTTGAATTGAAAGTCATGTGAGGCACAATTCCACTGTTTCATTTCACAGAAAATGAAATAACATCATAAGGGTTTTCTTCAAGTCAGCAAATATTGTTGAGTTTGTGTGATGAGCTGCCTAACCACTGTGAGTTAGGGGAAAGCCAGATCTGTTTGCCTCCATAGATTTCCTCTTTTCTTTTTTTCTTTTTTTAATAAAAATCTCATCTACTGAGATACACAATGTTAACAATTTGATACAATTCAGGTAACAGGAATTCACATTCCAATCATTTCTGTAACTGCTGAAAGTGCTCTTGTGCTGTAGTTAGTGAAGAGACATTTAAGATACCTAGCTAAAGGAATTCTACACGTCAGCTGCGTCTCATGCACATACTTCAGAACAAGTCATAAACACATTTTTCATGATCATTATACCTTAATAGAGGGATATGGGGGAGGTTGGGGGGTGTGGGGTGCATGTATGTGTGTAGGGAGGAACAAAAATCAAAAGGAGAACTAAGTATCAGCAAAAATCATAAGCTTCATATTCTAAGATCACTTTGATGTAAAATCATCTTTTCCAACAAGAGCATCATTTAATCTTTAGCAAAGGAGGAACCGCTCCAGTCCATTTATTTAGGGCATAATCATTCAGCATGTATCAGTGGGTGCATTACAAACAGTTTGTTTTAATAGCTTGGAGAAAGAATACTTGCACCAGGTTTTATTAGCATTGAGATTACAGGATATAAAGATTATGGGACAACCTATTCTGAGTGACGTAAGAACTATGTGATCTTTAACTCAAACAGTAAAGTAAGCATTTTATGTATATTTCTCATAGATGTTGCTAATAATTCTCCAAGTTTAAGCAGAAAAGAAAAATGGTTCAAAATCTAATGTCCAGTTCAGCCAGTGCCTCTAATGAGAAGGCTGTGAGACTGTATATAGGCAACATAGCTATGCTTTCAAGAAATCCTCTGAAATTTGTCATTAAAACTTTTTTTTTTTTTTTTACATCTTAGCTGTATATACCTCAGTGTGTTAGGCTGAACAGCCAAATTATTGTGTTTTAAAAACCTAGCTAGTTTTAAGTATCTCCAGTAAATGTGTGATATGTGATAGCATTAGGATAAAATGATGAATTCCAAACCACTAGTAGTTCCCAAAACTGAATGTGAACAAAACTTCTCGTAATATTTTCATATGGAGAGTATTTGGAGTTTTCTAGCATCTACCAGATGCTAGAAAAGAAGCAGAAGAATCAGCAAGGTCATGACTCCATTCTCATGATGGTTCCTCCTGAGTTTTGCAGATGTGAGAAGTCTGAACAGCTCAAATTATGTTTTGAAATCTGGGTGCTTATCCAAACTAAACTCAGATTTTTACCCTTTTGTTGTTTCACCCAGTGGTATAACCTAAACCAGTCTCCTGGCATAGCAACAAACACTGCACATTCAGGAAATACCGCTCTGGCAAGGTGCAGATTTCTTCACAGTCCTCCATTTGGAGGAGTGTGCATCTCTCTCCTTCTGCCTCCTCCTTTCCCTGTGCAGTCAATTGAACTGAATCCCCACAAACTACAAAATTGCCTTAATTCTTTTTTTCCTTTCATTTCAGAATGAAATTTACTTTTATTAAGAAAGCCCTGAAAGTTTGTTTCTTTCTTTCCAGCCATGATTCTAGCTTCCTCTCTAAGAGTTGAGTTTAACTGCCTTCTTATAGAAAATGGGTTCAAGTTAAAATCATCACTTCACTACCACCACTCAACTGAAACTAAAGATGCTCTTAGAAACTCACTAACCCCTTCCATTAACCTCATCCTGTGTAAAGGCCTAAAGTGCATTAATGGCCACATGAATTCAGTTTTCATCCTGCTTCTTAGAAAGCAGTCCTGGTAAACTCCTGGCAGATGGATTTTATTGTGAGATTTGTTTATATTTTCAAATTAGTTGTTCCTTGCTTTTATAATATATGCATAGTATCTGTTTATGTTACATAACTGCAAAGGTATATATTTATAACAAGTCATCAGAAACCTCTGTTTGATGGTAACACTTGATTCCTGTATGTATCCTACCCTCTTTAAGGCATTAACCCTTGCAATAACTTTTATCTCTGAGAACCTCTGTACACCTTTAAAAACTCATTACCTTCTATCCAGACATTCAGTGCTGTCTGTGTTTCATGCAGCCAGGCAGTAAAATGCTGTGTGATGAGCTTACCTGTGTCTAACTATTCACATTCACAATTGCCTTTCTCCAGTTCTTTGCCATGAATTCCACAATTTATACTGGGTGAATTGCACTGTTGTTTTGGGGAACATGGTTTGTGAAGAAAGAACAAGGAAAATGAGCTTTGCATACTTTGCCTTTTCATTGTCATTTCATTTACTAACTTCATCAGGTGATGCCTACAAACTGACTTTCAGGTGCTCTTTTACTCCATCACACCATCTGTTTGTGCATTGGGTGCTAACATACAGTCTATGTCAGTGAATGGTATGATGAATGTCTGTATTTTTAACTCTTTTGGGGATAAAGCTATAGCCTTAGGCAGAAGAAAATAACCGAATTATCGTTGTTTACCCCATAAGCCAGAATATAGAATTCAAAAGCCCATCTACTGGTATAGGTTTTTTTAATATATATATATATAAAAATATATTTATACATATGGATTTATATAAGCATGTACACATATATATAAATATGTATGTATGTGTATATTGTATTGTACATGTGTGTATACATAAATACACAGCAGTGTGTAGATACTACACACCGAATAATGAAAGGATGTCTACAGAGCAAAAATTGGTATCCATTTCATTATAACTTGTGATGGGTCTGAAGCAAAATCCTAGATCCAAACACCACTGCATTTGGAAAGTTTAAGCCTGTTTTTTGAGATTTGTGGTTGAGTTTCATCTCTGGCTACAGCTGCAGTTACTTGTGTATATATGCATTCTGGGGGACATGTGTGTGCTCGCTCATGTACTTTTTCACAAGTGCATGCCTGTGTGCATGGCAGAGAATATGTGTGCCAGTAAGTGTGCACGTGTTTACATATATACTTCCAGCTTTGGTGAACTATAATGTTACCAGTGTCATCTTCACTTGTGCAGTTTTATCAGCAGCACATGGATGCTTCCATGGGTCACCTTTCAACTCCTTAAATCACTACATTGAAGTATTACAGTTGTACAGTTATATGTTCATCTATTCTTGCTCTGCTGTAACTTTTTATGTATTTTGTACTGCATAGATTATATATTGTGATAATGTCCTATGCAACAACAATAAAAAAGGAAAAAAAAAAAAAGGAAAAAGGAAGAAAATTAACAACTGTAAAATATTGTCTTAACTTGTATGCATGGGTAGTGACGTTTATGTTTTCCAAAATAAAACTTATAACTATGAAATACCGGTTTTCTCTTAATTTCCTTCTCTATGTATCAGTTAAAAAGTATAAATTCTTAATATTTCTGTTGTTTGAGGCTTGATATCTTGTTTGTTATATTTGTTTAAATTTACACCCAGTGCTATTGCTTAAAATGGGATTTTTTTTAATCATTGAAAACTTCTGCGATGTTTGTTTTGTACTCTCCTCTGCTTTAACCAGTATTTTATAGTTGCACAGTGAAATTCCTTTCTCAAAGCTGGTATATAATGTGTTTTTCTTTATAAGATGGATATGGGATTAATATGCCTTACTTAAAGGTCAGAGTCAACCATCCTTTCTTTCAAAGCCCAGTTCTTTGGAGATTTCTAGTATGTCTCTGCAAGTGGCAATGTCCTATCAAAACAGTAGTAATTTAATCTCACAGCATCCTGAAATGTTCTTTCCTAATTTTAAATACAAGGAAATTGAAACACAAAAGATTTGAGTGACTTTCTCAAAGACATGAGGCAATGGCAGATGTGTGCCTTTATCCTCCCTTGAAAGTAACACCACACCCCCAGGAAAACAATTTTGTGCCCTATAATGAATATCTGTCTATAGAACATTATAACCGATCGCAAAAATAATTAAAAACAGTGAACTACTGTTGAAGGATGAGAGCTAAAATATCCTTACTAAGCCAGGGGCAATTGTGGGAATTACTTTAAAATTAGTACATTTTCTTGTGCAGGGGTCATGAAAACTGTTCAGAACAAATAACTTGAAGAGCCATTATCTTTAATAGCAGGTTTCCCCATGTATTCATTACAATGTTGAACTGTCAGTGCTACTTGTTATCTCTGACCGTGCACCGTTAGCTTGTACATCTGTATGTGTCTATGATCAACTGCTATTTTATAACTTACACAGAGGAACTAGCTAAATCACATAAATGCTTAATTAAGTTTGTGCAGTATTTAAGGGCTTGATATCTGAGAATAACATACTCTTTGCACATGCAGTGGATAATGCTGACTCTTTTATTACTGAACCCTCACTGGAACAGAAGACAAAATGCTTCTGTCCAGCAGAAAAACACAGGTTTGTTTCATTCTTTTTTACTAACATTAGCATGATGGGGCCTCTCACTGCTTATTCTCAATGTCTGTGTTGTAACTGGAAAATCCCAGTCAGAGGACTCTCTGAAACATTCAGGTTGTGAGAATCCTTAGGCAAAAATCTTGATAAACCATCTAATACCTGAGTGAGTTGAAGCTCCCTTGAGCCCTTGTCTGTCAGTCTGTTGAACTTCCATTTCAGATCCACTGAAGTAACTAACATCACCCTACCGCTGGCAGTCTTTCCCTTAATGCTTCCTCAGATGTCCTCCCACCCCATTCACAATTCTTAGTTCAATCTTCACCCTTAAACAGATAGGCTAGGCAGTTGCTTCAGAAGTCCAGTTGCTTTTTGCTAGTATGGAAAGGGTGTGACATGTCTAACCTCTGCTGCTACTCAGTTTTTTGGCCACTTGCTCTATCTGAATTCACTGTTTGTACTAGGGGGGAAGGTTTTGAGGGGTCTTTTTTGACTGATGCTGGAGAAAGTTGATACAGACTCTTGCTCCTCTTTTCTGTGATGGAATGAGTCTGAAGTTTCTTAAAAATACAGGTCACACCACACTTCTGGCACTGTGAAAACAGACCCTGAAGAGTAGTAGATCTGAAGTCCCCCTAGATGAAGGATCCACCTCATGTTTGATAACGGAATAGCAAATGTTGCTTTTTAAACTTTCTAGAATAATGAAAAGAGAAACAAATACTTCTAAAACAGGATATGCATTTTCAGTTTAAGTATAGAGTTCTTGTGCTGGTATGGTAATGTTATGTGCCTCCCCACCCAGACACCCACACTCTGAAACGTGTATGTTAACACATTCTTAGCTGCAAAAGAAACTTCTCCTCTCAGGTAGCTAAATGTATGGGTTTCTGTCTTGCCTGTGACTAAGCTTTTGCCACGAAGTGTTGATAGGCTTGGCAGTAGTCTGACAGTTCAGAAGAGAAGCAATAATACTACCAGAATTAGGATGGGATTTTCCCATTGACATTTACTTGTGTATCATTTCTGGCTTCAAAGCAGTCCACCTTAAGGTTCATTGCCCCAGCTTTTCAAGGAACCGCACCCATGGCATGCTTTGCTAGTTGACTGCAAGAGATTAAAGTGACATAAATACAAATCCACAGTCAATAGAAACAGAGAGAAAAGTGAGAGAAGATGGAGATTGAAATAAAAAAGAGGTGAGGACAATGAGACAAGCTGAGTGTTTCTAGCAGCTGACCAGAAAGGCTCATATGGCACCAGAACATGCATAGGGCTTCCTAAAGAATTTCAGATCAAGCAAGCTGGGCAGCATCTTCAAAGATGGCCAGAGATCACATGAGCTTTTCTAAGAGCAGTAGAGGAGGTAGAAAAGTGAAACAGTAATTCAATCAGGCAAGCACAGGTGTCTAGCTAGCTACAGTGTGTTGCTGGCATGGCTATGAGAATAGAGAGGGAAGGATTATTTTCATAGATTTCTCAATCCATGCACCAGACAAGGGAGGGGAGTCTGGTTGCCCAAACATCTGAGCAGCAAGAGGGAAGGAGTGAAGCTTGAATGAACACTGGCTTTGGGAGCCAGATTCATGCTTTGGGCAACTCAGAGAACAAGATTACATTAAACAAATCTGGAGGAAAAAAAAAAAAAAGTGAAGAAAATAACTGAGTAAAACTTGAGTAGGGTTTTAGGCAAGAACAGGCCCCAAAAGTCTGCTAACAAAACCTAAACACTGAGCTTAGTAGTAACTCTACCTCACCAGTAGAAAAAATCTCTAGAGTGTAATTTCTGCCTCATCATAATTGTAAATAAAGGATCAACCTGTCCTATCTGGTTAGCACTGGCAGGAGACAGATTTAATCTTTGGTTCCCACTGGCTGGAACAAATGCTCAACAGGAAAAGAGGGGTTAGCATCAGGGGCTGGGCTGAGAGGCTCTGAGACACTTGCTGGCAGGTCTCTGCTGAGCTGACATTTCTTCTCTGCATCACTGTATAAACATGCCGGCCTGAGCACAACACAGCAGGTCTGAGCCTGCTGCACTTGGACTTGTAAGGTACACTGCACAGGGTCACAAAGGCTTACACTGCCCAAGCTGCTTGTTCAGAGCTAGCCCAAGTGTTCTTCCCAAGGCCCACCAGCTGCAACTGGGACATTTCCCAGAGGGAAGGTGCAATATGCCAAGTGGGTGGATGAGAGAACACCATGGAGAAGAAAGGCCCAGTTGAAGGACAAGAGAGATGGTGCTGGTCAGAGGGAGAGTTTGAGGTGTATAGCAGCATAATAAGAGGAATGATATAAAAAAAATGTGGGAAACAGATGAAAGGTGCAATAAATGGGGAAGGTAAGGTAAAGAGGGGGAAGATAAGTAGAGAAAAATGAGGAAGGATTAGAGGGTAGGGCAATTTTATGTAATTTTCTAGAGAAAAGAAGAAAGGCCTAAGGCGCAAAATCCCAAAGGGTGTCTAGAGGAAGAGAAAGATAGTTCACGTGGTAGCATTTCCAACAGCTTAGAAGGTAAGGCATGTCAGTGAGTAATAAACAGGACTGTGTGTCTTTAAGAGACCAATGTTTGTGTTTTCCCATGCTCTCCTATTGTGGAAATAACTTTCTGAGTCATTTCTCTGATCCTGGAGACAAACTGAACAGACACAAAACATAACAAAACACAATAGCAACGGGAAGAGAGAAATTCCTCCCTCCCCCTTCCACCACACATGCATTTTATGTCAGCGATCTGGATGCACTCAAAGCCTCTGAGTAGAAGAGAAACACGGCACAGACCGACAATCTTGTTTGTTACACACTTTTTCAATCAAGTTCACCTTCACCACCACTGCATAAACAGCTAAAACTTGGAAGCTACACTTCCCCCGTCTGTTACTTTATATATGTTATACAGTCTCTTTGGTTGAAAGTCTTACCTTCCCAATTTTCCACAGACAGTGAACTGCAACAGGAATTTGCAAGCTTTTTTAAACTTCAAAGCTTTGCACTTCAAAGACCCTGAAATTTTTCTCCCAAGCCTCATGCCCCATCCTCTGCAAAAAAAAAAGATGTCATTTTGAGACTCTCTCTCAAAACGCCACATTTGGAAGCTTACGTACATCTAAAAAGCAACATCACAGCTATGATCTTCCCAGAGAGCAGTAATGAGATGGGCACCCCGACAAGTGGCTGGCCCCAAACCCAGGCTGTATCAAGACTTCCTACACCAAAATGCAGAATTACTACTGATCAGAGCCGAGACGAGTCCATTTTCTTTGTTTCCTTCTTTAGCTTCTATTATGGTGCTGAGAACTATCTCAAACCCTTTGATATTATGGACAGTAAGGTCCCATGAAGTTGCAAGGCCTTACAGGTTTGGTTTAACACGCAACCTTTGTGTTGGCTTTGGAAGTTGTAAAACAATTCCCAAGCTTTCCCACTCCGGGGCTGCCATGCAAACTGCCGTTTGCAGCCCACTGGGAGGAACAGTATGACTTGACAAGAAGAAGGAAGAAGAAAGTTTTCTTCATGACTGCCAATCCATCCTTTACTGCCGCAGTGAGCCTGCCCCCAGCTCGCAGGGCTGGCGCCGAGGGAGATGCCCGTGCTGCTGGCAGCAGGCGTGGGCTGGCTGCAGAAGGCAGAGCAGGTTGGCAGGTGGCTCAGAAGAAATGACCTACATCCACCTTCCTCCCTGTGGGAGAGGAGTCACTCTCAGGGACTGAGGGTTTGAAAGCAGCCACAGCACTCCCCAGCTTCTCCAACCCTCCCTGAAGACTGGGTAAGGTATGGTTTCCCCTTAACGTGCTCTTGCAAGCAGCTCTACTAAATAATCCCGGTGAGCTAATAAAAGGCAAGCTGTCCTGGGTTGAGTGAGTGGTGGAGTTTTTTGGTGGCAGGGGAGGGGGCTATCGGGGGTCCCCCTGTGAGAAGCTTCTCGAAGCTCCCCCAGCTCCA